AGGTGGGCGGGGCTGAGGGGCGGTCACATGGTCTAAAGGAGCTCTCTGGATCCTTCTAGAAGGAGCTCGACGTGGAAGGTGGGCAGGGCTGAGGGGCGGTCACATGGTCTAAAGGAGCTCTCTGGATCCTTCTAGAAGGAGCTCGAGCTGGAAGGTGGGCGGGGGCTGAGGGGCGGTCACATGAACTAAAGGAGCATCTCTAGATCCTTCTAGAAGGAGCTCGACCTGGAAGGTGGGCGGGGCTGAGGGGCAGTCACATGGTCTAAAGGAGCTCTCTGGATCCTTCTAGAAGGAGCTCGGGAGACCTGGAAAGTGGGCGGGGCTGAGGGGCGGTCACATGGTCTAAAGGAGCATCTCTATATCCTTCTAGAAGGAGCTCGAGGTGGAAGGTGGGCGGGGCTGAGGGGCGGTGACATGATCTAAAGGAGCATCTCTAGATCCTTCTAGAAGGAGCTCGACGTGGAAGGTGGGCGGGGCTGAGGGGCGGTCACATGGTCTAAAGGAGCATCTCTAGATCCTTCTAGAAGGAGCTCGACCTGGAAGGTGGGCGGGGCTGAGGGGCGGTCACATGGTCTAAAGGAGCTCTCTGGATCCTTCTAGAAGGAGCTCGGGAGACCTGGAATGTGGGCGGGGCTGAGGGGCGGTCACATGGTCTAAAGGAGCATCTCTAGATCCTTCTAGAAGGAGCTCGACGTGGAAGGTGGGCGGGGCTGAGGGGCGGTCACATGGTCTAAAGGAGCATCTCTGGATCCTTCTAGAAGGAGCTCGACGTGGAAGGTGGGCGGGGCTGAGGGGCGGTCACATGGTCTAAAGGAGCTCTCTGGATCCTTCTAGAAGGAGCTCGACCTGGAAAGTGGGCAGGGCTGAGGGGCGGTCACATGATCTAAAGGAGTATCTCTAGATCCTTCTAGAAGGAGCTCGACGTGGAAGGTGGGCGGGGCTGAGGGGCGGTCACATGGTCTAAAGGAGCATCTCTAGATCCTTCTAGAAGGAGCTCGAGGTGGAAGGTGGGCGGGGCCTGAGGGGCGGTCACATGGTCTAAAGGAGCTCTCTGGATCCTTCTAGAAGGAGCTCGACGTGGAAGGTGGGCGGGGCTGAGGGGCGGTCACATGGTCTAAAGGAGCTCTCTGGATCCTTCTAGAAGGAGCTCGAGCTGAAAAGTGGGCGGGGCTGAGGGGCGGTCACATGGTCTAAAGGAGCATCTCTGGATCCTTCTAGAAGGAGCTCGACCTGGAAGGTGGGCGGGGCTGAGGGGCGGTCACATGGTCTAAAGGAGCTCTCTGGATCCTTCTAGAAGGAGCTCGACGTGGAAGGTGGGCAGGGCTGAGGGGCGGTCACATGGTCTAAAGGAGCTCTCTGGATCCTTCTAGAAGGAGCTCGAGCTGGAAGGTGGGCGGGGCTGAGGGGCGGTCACATGAACTAAAGGAGCATCTCTAGATCCTTCTAGAAGGAGCTCGACCTGGAAGGTGGGCGGGGCTGAGGGGCAGTCACATGGTCTAAAGGAGCTCTCTGGATCCTTCTAGAAGGAGCTCGGGAGACCTGGAAAGTGGGCGGGGCTGAGGGGCGGTCACATGGTCTAAAGGAGCATCTCTATATCCTTCTAGAAGGAGCTCGAGGTGGAAGGTGGGCGGGGCTGAGGGGCGGTGACATGATCTAAAGGAGCATCTCTAGATCCTTCTAGAAGGAGCTCGACGTGGAAGGTGGGCGGGGCTGAGGGGCGGTCACATGGTCTAAAGGAGCATCTCTAGATCCTTCTAGAAGGAGCTCGACCTGGAAGGTGGGCGGGGCTGAGGGGCGGTCACATGGTCTAAAGGAGCTCTCTGGATCCTTCTAAAAGGAGCTCGAGCTGGAAGGTGGGCGGGGCTGAGGGGCGGTCACATGAACTAAAGGAGCATCTCTAGATCCTTCTAGAAGGAGCTCGACCTGGAAGGTGGGCGGGGCTGAGGGGCGGTCACATGGTCTAAAGGAGCTCTCTGGATCCTTCTAGAAGGAGCTCGGGAGACCTGGAAAGTGGGCGGGGCTGAGGGGCGGTCACATGGTCTAAAGGAGCATCTCTAGATCCTTCTAGAAGGAGCTCGACGTGGAAGGTGGGCGGGGCTGAGGGGCGGTCACATGGTCTAAAGGAGCATCTCTATATCCTTCTAGAAGGAGCTCGAGGTGGAAGGTGGACGGGGCTGAGGGGCGGTCACATGGTCTAAAGGAGCATCTCTATATCCTTCTAGAAGGAGCTCGAGGTGGAAGGTGGGCGGGGCTGAGGGGCGGTCACATGGTCTAAAGGTGCATCTCTATATCCTTCTAGAAGGAGCTCGAGGTGGAAGGTGGGCGGGGCTGAGGGGCGGTGACATGATCTAAAGGAGCCTCTCTAGATCCTTCTAGAAGGAGCTCGACGTGGAAGGTGGGCGGGGCTGAGGGGCGGTCACATGGTCTAAAGGAGCATCTCTAGATCCTTCTAGAAGGAGCTCGACCTGGAAGGTGGGCGGGGCTGAGGGGCGGTCACATGGTCTAAAGGAGCTCTCTGGATCCTTCTAGAAGGAGCTCGAGCTGGAAGGTGGGCGGGGCTGAGGGGCGGTCACATGAACTAAAGGAGCATCTCGAGATCCTTCTAGAAGGAGCTCGACCAGGAAGGTGGGCGGGGCTGAGGGGCGGTCACATGGTCTAAAGGAGCTCTCTGGATCCTTCTAGAAGGAGCTCGGGAGACCTGGAAAGTGGGCGGGGCTGAGGGGCGGTCACATGGTCTAAAGGAGCATCTCTAGATCCTTCTAGAAGGAGCTCGACGTGGAAGGTGGGCGGGGCTGAGGGGCGGTCACATGGTCTAAAGGAGCATCTCTGGATCCTTCTAGAAGGAGCTCGACGTGGAAGGTGGGCGGGGCTGAGGGGCGGTCACATGGTCTAAAGGAGCTCTCTGGATCCTTCTAGAAGGAGCTCGACCTGGAAAGTGGGCAGGGCTGAGGGGCGGTCACATGATCTAAAGGAGTATCTCTAGATCCTTCTAGAAGGAGCTCGACGTGGAAGGTGGGCGGGGCTGAGGGGCGGTCACATGGTCTAAAGGAGCATCTCTAGATCCTTCTAGAAGGAGCTCGAGGTGGAAGGTGGGCGGGCCTGAGGGGCGGTCACATGGTCTAAAGGAGCTCTCTGGATCCTTCTAGAAGGAGCTCGACGTGGAAGGTGGGCGGGGCTGAGGGGCGGTCACATGGTCTAAAGGAGCTCTCTGGATCCTTCTAGAAGGAGCTCGAGCTGAAAAGTGGGCGGGGCTGACGGGCGGTCACATGGTCTAAAGGAGCATCTCTGGATCCTTCTAGAAGGAGCTCGACCTGGAAGGTGGGCGGGGCTGAGGGGCGGTCACATGGTCTAAAGGAGCTCTCTGGATCCTTCTAGAAGGAGCTCGACGTGGAAGGTGGGCGGGGCTGAGGGGCGGTCACATGGTCTAAAGGAGCTCTCTGGATCCTTCTAGAAGGAGCTCGAGCTGGAAGGTGGGCGGGGCTGAGGGGCGGTCACATGAACTAAAGGAGCATCTCTAGATCCTTCTAGAAGGAGCTCGACCTGGAAGGTGGGCGGGGCTGAGGGGCAGTCACATGGTCTAAAGGAGCTCTCTGGATCCTTCTAGAAGGAGCTCGGGAGACCTGGAAAGTGGGCGGGGCTGAGGGGCGGTCACATGGTCTAAAGGAGCATCTCTAGATCCTTCTAGAAGGAGCTCGACGTGGAAGGTGGGCGGGGCTGAGGGGCGGTCACATGGTCTAAACGAGCATCTCTGGATCCTTCTAGAAGGAGCTCGACGTTGAAGGTGGGCGGGGCTGAGGGGCGGTCACATGGTCTAAAGGAGCTCTCTGGATCCTTCTAGAAGGAGCTCGACGTGGAAGGTGGGCGGGGCTGAGGGGCGGTCACATGGTCTAAAGGAGCATCTCTATATCCTTCTAGAAGGAGCTCGAGGTGGAAGGTGGGCGGGCCTGAGGGGCGGTCACATGGTCTAAAGGAGCTCTCTGGATCCTTCTAGAAGGAGCTCGACGTGGAAGGTGGGCGGGGCTGAGGGGCGGTCACATGGTCTAAAGGAGCTCTCTGGATCCTTCTAGAAGGAGCTCGACGTGGAAGGTGGGCGGGGCTGAGGGGCGGTCACATGGTCTAAAGGAGCTCTCTGGATCCTTTTAGAAGGAGCTTGATGTGGAAGGTGGGCGGGGCTGAGGGGCGGTCACATGGTCTAAAGGAGCTCTCTGGATCCTTCTAGAAGGAGCTCGGCCTGGAAGGTGGGCGGGGCTGAGGGGCGGTCACATGGTCTAAAGGAGCTCTCTGGATTCTTCTAGAAGGAGCTCGACGTGGAAGGTGGGCGGGGCTGAGGGGTGGTCACATGGTCTAAAGGAGCTCTCTGGATCCTTCTAGAAGGAGCTCGGCGTGGAAGGTGGGCGGGGCTGAGGGGTGGTCACATGGTCTAAAGGAGCATCTCTAGATCCTTCTAGAAGGAGCTCGACCTGGAAGGTGGGCGGGGCTGAGGGACGGTCACATGGTCTAAAGGAGCTCTCTGGATCCTTCTAGAAGGAGCTCGACGTGGAAGGTGGGCGGGGCTGAGGGGCGGTCACATGGTCTAAAGGAGCTCTCTGGATCCTTCTAGAAGGAGCTCGACGTGGAAGGTGGGCGGGGCTGAGGGGCGGTCACATGGTCTAAAGGAGCATCTCTGGATCCTTCTAGAAGGAGCTCGACCTGGAAGGTGGGCGGGGCTGAGGGGTGGTCACATGGTCTAAAGGAGCTCTCTGGATCCTTCTTGAAGGAGCTCGAGCTGGAAGGTGGGCGGGGCTGAGGGGCGGTCACATGGTCTAAAGGAGCTCTCTGGATTCTTCTAGAAGGAGCTCGACTTGGAAGGTGGGCGGGGCTGAGGGGTGGTCACATGGTATGGTGACGGTGGTGATGGCGGTGGTGGCGGTGGTGACGGTGTTGTTGGTAGTGACGGTGATGATGGTGTTGATGGTGGTGATGGTGTTGGTGGTGACGGTGGTGATGATGGTGCGACTCACCGGTGATGGCCCTCCTCATCTCCCGGGCGGCCTCCTCCCGCGTCTCCGTGGCTGCCTGATCACTGAACCACGCCACGTGGGGGCAGCACAGCAAGTTGGGCGCATCCTTCAGAGGGCCCGACAAGAAGCTGGGGTCACAACAACAACAACGTCAACAACAACAACATCAACATCAACAACAACAACGTCAACAACAACAACAACATCAACAACAACAACAACAACGTCAACAACAACAACAACAACGTCAACAACAACATCAACAACATCAACAACAACATCAACAAGGTCAACATTAGCGTCCTTCAGAGGGCCTGACAAGAAGCTGGGGTCACAACAACAACAACATCAACAACGTCAACAACATCATCAACAACGTCAACAACAACATCAACAACAACATCAACAACAACGTTAACAACATCATCAACAACGTCAACAACATCAACAACAACATCAACAACAACATCAACAACATCAACAACAACATCAACAACAACATCAACAACAACAACATCAACAACATCAACAACAACGTCAACAACATCAACAACAACGTCAACAACAACATCAACAACAACATCAACAACAACATCAACAACAACATCAACAACAACGTCAACAACATCAACAACAACGTCAACAACAACGTCAACAACAACATCAACATCAACAACAACGTCAACAACAACGTCAACAACAACATCAACAACTTCAACATTAGCGTCCTTCAGAGGGCCCGATAAGAAGCTGGGGTCACAACAACATCAACAACAACGTCAACAACAACATCAACAACAATGTCAACAACAACATCAACAACAATGTCCACAACAACATCAACAACAACGTCAACAACAACATCAACAACGTCAACATTAGCGTCCTTCAGAGGGCCCGACGAGAAGCTGGGGTCACAACAACAACAACAACATCAACAACAACATCAACAACGTCAACAACAACAACAACATCAACAACGTCAACAACAACGTCAACAACAACATCAACAACGTCAACATTAGCATCCTTCAGAGGGCCCGATAAGAAGCTGGGGTCACAACAACAACAACAACATCAACAACAACGTCAACAACAACATCAACAACAACATCAACAACAACATCAACAACGACATCAACATCAACAACAACAACATCAACAACGACATCAACATCAACAACATCAACAACAACATCAACAACAACGTCAACAACAACATCAACAACAACATCAACAACGTCAACATTAGCGTCCTTCAGAGGGCCTGACAAGAAGCTGGGCTCACAACAACAACAACATCAACAACAATGTCAACAACAACATCAACAACATCATCAACAACAACAACACCAACAACAACATCAACAACAACGTCAACAACAACATCAACAACGTCAACATTAGCGTCCTTCAGAGGGCCTGACAAGAAGCTGGGGACACAACAACAACAACAACATCAACAACAACGTCAACAACAACAACGTCAACAACAACATCAACATCATCAACAACAACGTCAACAACAACAACAACATCATCAACAACAACGTCAACAACATCATCAACAACGTCAACAACAACGTCAACAACAACATCAACAACAACATCAACAACATCGTCAACAACAACATCACCACCAACATCAACAACAACGTCAACAACAACATCAACAACATCAACAACAACGTCAACAACAACATCAACAACAACATCAACAACAACGTCAACAACAACATCAACAACGTCAACATTAGCGTCCTTCAGAGGGCCTGACAAGAAGCTGGGGTCACAACAACAACATCATCAACAACAACAACATCAACAACAACGTCAACAACAACGTCAACAACAACATCAACAACAACATCAACAACAACGTCAACAACAACATCAACAACAACATCATCAACAACAACAACAACATCAACAACATAATCAACAACAATGTCAACAACAACATCAACAACAACAACATCAACAACAACAACGTCAACAACAACATCAACAACAACATCAACAACAACGTCAACAACAACGTCAACAACAACATCAACAACGTCAACATTAGCGTCCTTCAGAGGGCCCGATAAGAAGCTGGGGTCACAACAACAACAACAATGTCAACAACAACATCAACAACAACGTCAACAACAACATCAACAACAACATGAACAACGTCAACATTAGCGTCCTTCAAAGGGCCTGACAAGAAGCTGGGGTCACAACAACAACAACATAAACAACAACGTCAACAACAACGTCAACAACAACATTAGCATCCTGCAGAGGTCCCGACGAGAAGCTGGGGTCACAACAACAACAACAACAAGAGCATATTCATCTTCTTTGGTTCTTTCGGTAAAGTCACCACGTAGAATGAGAATAAAATAATAAATTGATAAAATAAAATAACACAATAATATTCTCACGACGTTTCGGCCACAACACAAGCGGCCTTCATCAGGTGAAGGGACGAGATTGAACCACGCCACATGAGGGCAGCACAGCAGGTTGGGACAGCGCTGTCCTACCAGACAGTCTCGTCCCTTCACCTGATGAAGGCCGCTTGTGTTGTGGCCGAAACGTCGTGAGAATATCATTGTGTTATTTTTTTTATCAATGTATTATTTTATTCTCATTCTACGTGACTTTACCGAAAGAACCAAAGAAGATGAATCATTGCAGTCACGAAAGCTTTAAATCGAAATTTAAATCGAAAAAGAACATTCTTTGGTTCTTTCGGTAAAGTCACGTGGAAGGGAAACAATGAAAAATTAATAAAAAAATAAAAATTAAACATTACATAAAATCCGTGATCTGGTTCCGTCTGTAAAAGATTTGATTCCGGACATACAGTACCCTGGCGTCTACAAACTAAGTTGCCTCTGTGGTAGTTGTTACATTGGAGAAACCAAACGCCATGTCTCGGACCGCATTCGTGAACACAAAGCAGACCTTAAACACGGTAGGACCAACACCTCGGCCGTGGCAGATCACTGTTATAATTCAGTAGGCTCACATGACATTGACTTCTCCAAGACAGAGGTTCTCTGCAAGCCATCTGGCTACCATGAGAGATCCGTTCACGAGGCTATCCACATATACAAACACAGCGACAATTTCAACCGAGAAGATGGATTCTGGCTTAGCAATCATTGGAAGGATATGATAAACCATTTCGGGTCTTAATTGATTGTTCACGCTTACGGCTACCATGAGAGATCCGTTCATGAGGCTATCCACATATACAAACACAGAGACAATTTCAACCGAGAAGATGGATTCTGGCTTAGCAATCATTGGAAGGATTCGATAAACCATTTCGGGTCTTAATTGATCGTTCACCCTTACGGTTACCATGAGAGATCTGTTCACGAGGCTATCCACATATACAAACACGGAGACAATTTCAACCGAGAAGATGGATTCTGGCTTAGCAATCATTGGAAGGATTTGATAAACCATTTCGGGTCTTAATTGATTGTTCACGCTTAAGGTGGCTTTCAGACCGCATCCATTATTTTTCGTCTCCCCCCCTCCTCTTTTCCGAACATAGATGGACTCGTCCATCTGAATGACTGTCAAATCGCTCTCCGTGGTGCTAACGTTAAAAAAAAAACGCCACTTTTTTTTCAAATTTTCTTGCTGTGGTTTTTCGCGCCTGATGATGAATGCTTGTGTTGCAGTCGAAACGTCGTGAAAATTTTATTGTTTTATATTTTTATTATTTGATTGTTTCCCTATCTACGTGGTGACTTTACCGAAAGAACCAAGAATATAACAACGTCAACAACAACATGAGCGTCCTTCAGAGGGCCTGACCAGAAAGCTGGTCACAACAACAACAACGTCAACAACAACAGCAATAACAGCAACAACATCAACAACATCATCAGCAATAACATCAACAACATTATCAGCAGCAGCATCATCAACATCATCATCAATATCACCATCATATCATCATTAACATCATCACAAGTATCACAACATCACCATCATTATATCAAAATCACCATCATTACATTATCAACATCATCAACATTATATCATCAACATCACCATCATCAACATCATCATCAACATCACCATCATTATATCATCAACATCATCAACATCACCATCATCAACATCATCAACATCATCATCAACATCACCATCATTACATTATCAACATCATCAACATCACCATCATTATATCATCAACATCACCATCATTATATCATCAACATCATCAACATCACCATCAACATATCTCTCTGCATCTCCCTCCATTATCCTCTCTCTTGTGATGATGTTCACGATGACGGTGATGATGATGATGGTGTTCACCTGAACGGTTCACTCTCGTGATGATGTAGATGATGATGTAGATGATGTAGATGATGATGATGTAGATGATGATGATGTAGATGATGATGCAGATGATGTTGATGTTGTAGATGATGATGATGATGTTGTTGTTGTTGTTCACCTGAAGGGTTCACTCTATAGTCATGATGTAGATGATGTTGTAGATGTTGTAGATGATGTTGTAGATGTTGTAGTTGTTGTTGTTGTTCACCTGAAGGGTTCACTCTATAGTCATGATGTAGATGTTGTAGATGTTGTAGATGATGATGATGTTGTAGATGTTGTAGATGATGATGTAGATGTTGTAGATGATAATGATGTTGTAGATGATGATGTAGATGATGTAGATGTAGTAGATGTTGTAGATGTTGTAGATGATGTTGTTGTAGATGATGATGTAGATGATGTAGATGTAGTAGATGTTGTAGATGATGATGTAGATGTTGTAGTAGATGTTGTAGATGATGATGTTGTAGATGATGATGTTGTTGTAGATGATGATGTAGATGTTGTTGTTGTTGTTCACCTGAAGGGTTCACTCTACAGTCATGATGTAGATGTTGTAGATGATGATGATGTTGTAGATGTTGTAGATGATGATGATGTTGTAGATGTTGTAGATGATGATGATGTAGATGTTGTAGATGTTGTAGATGATGTAGATGATGATGTTGTTGTTGTTGTTCACCTGAAGGGTTCACTCTACAGTCATGATGTAGATGTTGTAGATGTTGTAGATGATGATGTAGATGATGTAGTAGATGTTGTAGATGATGATGATGTTGTAGATGTTGTAGATGATTATGTAGATGATGTAGTAGATGTTGTAGATGATGATGTAGATGTTGTAGTAGATGTTGTAGATGATGTAGATGATGATGTAGATGATGTTGTAGATGATGATGATGTAGTAGATGTTGTAGATGATGATGTTGTAGATGTTGTAGATGATGATGATGTTGTAGATGTTGTAGATGATGATGTAGATGTTGTAGTAGATGTTGTAGATGATGATGATGTAGATGACGATGATGATGTAGATGATGATGTTGATGTTGTTGTTCACCTGAAGGGTTCACTCTACAGTCATGATGTAGATGTTGTAGACGTTGTAGATGATGATGATGTTGTAGATGATGATGTAGATGTTGTAGATGTTGTAGATGATGATGATGTTGTAGATGATGATGTTGATGTTGTTGATGTTGTTCACCTGAAGGGTTCACTCTAGTCATGTTGTAGATGTTGTAGATGATGATGATGATGTTGTAGATGATGATGATGTTGTAGATGTTGTAGATGATGATGTAGATGATTATGTAGATTATGTAGATGATGAGTAGATGATGTAGATGTTGTAGATGATGTTGTAGATGTTGTAGATGATGATGTAGATGTTGTAGATGATGTTGTAGATGTTGTAGTTGTTGTTCACCTGAAGGGTTCACTCTATAGTCATGATGTAGATGTTGTAGATGTTGTAGATGATGATGTAGTAGATGTTGTAGATGATGATGATGTTGTAGATGATGATGTAGATGATGTTGTTGTTCACCTGAAGGGTTCACTCTACAGTCATGATGTAGATGTAGTAGATGTTGTAGATGATGATGTAGATGATGTAGTAGATGTTGTAGATGATGATGATGTTGTAGATGTTGTAGATGATGTAGTAGATGATGATGATGATGTAGATGATGATGATGATGTAGATGATGTTGTTGTTGTTCACCTGAAGGGTTCACTCTCGTGTACATCGAGCGCGGCTCCCCGGATCCGCCCTTCCCTGAGCGCCACGGCGAGAGCGTGTTCATCCACAAGTCCTCCACGTGCCGTGTTCACCAGGAACACTCCGTGTCTCATCTGTTACATCAACACCATCGCCACCACCATCACCACCATCACCACATCACCACCATCACCACGGTGAGAGCGTGTTCATCCACAAGTCCTCCACGTGCTGTGTTCACCAGGAACACTCCGTGTCTCATCTGTCACATCATCACCATCACCACCACCATCACCACTACCACCATCACCACCACCATCACCACCATCACCATCACCACCACCACCATCACCATCACCACCACCATCATCACCACCACCATCACCACCACCATCACCACCACCATCATCACCACCACCATCATCACCACCACCATCATCACCACCACCACCATCACTGCCATCATCACCACATCAACATCATCATCACCACCACCACCACCATCACCACCACCATCACCACCACCATCATCACCACCACCATCATCATCACCACCACCATCATCATCACCATCACCACCACCATCACCACTACCACCATCACCACCACCATCACCACCATCACCATCACCACCACCACCATCACCACCACCACCACCATAACCATCACCACCACCATCATCACCACCACCATCACCACCACCATCACCACCACCACCACTACCACCACCACCACCATCATCACCATCACCACCACCACCATCGCCCCCATCACATACATCTCCACATCCCCTATAAATGATGGTCGTGCCCGTAACGTCGTGGCGAACGTCGCCCCCCAAACGTCGCCCCCCAAACGTCGCCCCCCCAAACGTCGCCCCCCCCAAACGTCGCCCCCCCCAGACGTCGCCTACCTGCTTGATGGTGAAGTCGTTGAGCAGGTGGTGGCTGTGCTGGTCCAGGGAGCAGTGTAGACTCACACAGTCACTGGCGCGGAGCAGCTGCAGCAGCGAGGGAGCTCGCTCCACGCCCAGCGCCCGCTCCATGCCAGGCGCCACGTGGGGGTCGTGGAAGACGACGCGGAAGCCAAACGCAGCGGCACGGAGGGCCACGGCCTGGCCCACGCGGCCTGGGGCGGTGGGGGTGGTGAAAGGCGAGGTGTCAGTGTGTGTGTGTGTCTTAGTGTGTGTGTGTGTGTGTCAGTGTGTGTGTGTGTGTCTTAGTGTGTGTGTGTGTGTGTCAGTGTGTGTGTGTCAGTGTGTGTGTGTGTCAGTGTGTGTGTGTGTGTCTTAGTGTGTGTGTGTCTGTGTGTGTCAGTGTGTGTGTGTGTGTGTCAGTGTGTGTGTGTCAGTGTGTGTGTGTGTCAGTGTGTGTGTGTGTGTCTTAGTGTGTGTGTGTCTGTGTGTGTCAGTGTGTGTGTGTGTGTGTCTTAGTGTGTGTGTGTGTGTGTCTTAGTGTGTGTGTGTCTGTGTGTGTCAGTGTGTGTGTGTGTGTGTCAGTGTGTGTCAGTGTGTGTGTCAGTGTGTGTGTGTGTGTGTCAGTGTGTGTGTGTGTTAGTGTGTGTGTGTGTCTGTGTGTGTGTGTCAGTGTGTGTTAGTGTGTGTGTCAGTGTGTGTCTGTGTGTCGGTGTGTCAGTGTGTGTCAGTGTGTTAGTGTGTGTGTCAGTGTGTGTGTGTCAGTGTGTGTGTGTGTCTGTGTTAGTGTGTGTGTGTGTGTCAGTGTGTGTGTGTGTGTCAGTGTGTGTGTGTGTGTGTCAGTGTGTGTGTGTGTGTCAGTGTGTGTGTGTGTCAGTGTGTGTGTGTGTCTGTGTGTCAGTGTGTGTGTGTCGGTGTGTGTGTGTGTGTCTGTGTGTGTCAGTGTGTGTGTGTGTCAGTGTGTGTGTGTCAGTGTGTTAGTGTGTGTGTCAGTGTGTGTGTGTGTCAGTGTGTGTGTGTGTCAGTGTGTGTGTGTGTCAGTGTGTGTGTTACTGTGTGTGTGTGTGTCTGTGTGTCAGTGTGTGTGTGTCGGTGTGTGTGTGTCTGTGTGTCAGTGTGTGTGTGTCGGTGTGTGTCTGTGTGTGTCAGTGTGTGTCAGTGTGTGTCAGTGTGTGTGTGTGTCAGTGTGTGTGTGTGTGTCAGTGTGTGTGTGTCTGTGTGTGAGTGTGTGTGTCAGTGTGTGTGTGTGTGTCAGTGTGTGTGTGTCTGTGTGTGAGTGTGTGTCAGTGTGTGTCAGTGTGTGTGTTACTGTGTGTGTGTGTGTGTTTGTGTGTGTGTGTGTCCGGCAAAACAACCCCCTACCTCCTCGTGGTGCCGGACGGGCAACTCTGTCGTGGACAATGCTGTGGGGGGAGATCCAATTTTGATTGGCTCCTCCCCTCATGGCGTCTGTGTCCACCACAGGGGCTAAACGGGGGCTCTGGACGGGTGCGAGGGGCTGGTAACCCCTCCACCTTCAATTAATTGCCACAAAACCACGAGTTAAACTGAAATATGTAACTAATAAGCTTGTGCCGGAGGCTCCGGGGGGCCAGGCGTCTATGACGTCTCCTGGCCAAACCCCAATTGGTGGAGCCAGGAGATTGAATATCCACCCTCGGGGCTCCTCCAGAAACAACGAAAACCCACTACGGGTGGCCACGTGGAATTTTCGAACGCTCACTGCGGAGGAGACGCTGCCACTCCTCTGTCGGGAGCTGGACCGGTACCGTCTGGATCTATGCGGCATTCAGGAGGTCCGGTGGACCGGCTCTGGCTCCTGCCACCATGAGGGGTGGACAGTCCTCTACTCGGGGCAGCAGACTGCCAAACAACAGGGTGTGGCTCTTCTTCTGAAGAAAATAATGAAGGGGGCATGAGAGCGTGGCGGTGAGGTGTGGGAAGCTGTAAGCCCCAGGCTACTTTGGGCTCGCCTTCCCATCAACCGGAGGCGAGGAATGGTGGTCGTGGTTACTTATGCCCCCACCGAAGATGAACATCCGTGGATGGATGCAGGCAAAGCCGATGAGTCAGATGCCTTCTATGACCTCCTGTCACAGGTGCTGGCTAAAGTGGCCCCTCGGGATAGAGTCATCATGTTGGGTGACTTCAATGCCCGAGTTGGTCATGATACTGGCACCTGGTCTGGAGTGATTGGTGGGCATGGGCCAGATCAGCTCAATAACAATGGTAGGAGGCTGCTAGATTTTTGTGCAGCCCATGGGCTTGTAATTACCAACACGCTGTTCCGGCATCGGCGCATCCACACAACATCATGGATGCATGCCGGGTCCAAGCAAGAACATCTGCTGGACTACACAGTGACGGACCAGCGGATGCGAGCCCATGTCCTTGACACCAGGACCTACCGTGGAGCTGATCTGCCCTCTAACCATCGACTAGTCATCTGTAAGATGCGCCTGCCATTCTTCCACTCCGGTGGTGGGTGTACTCCCAGGACCCCATTCCGACCTAAAGTGGCCTGGTCTCAGTTATCTGATGAAAGTTGCAAGCGAGAATTTCATCATCGCTTGTGGCTGGGATTGGCATCGTCCCCCACTCCCCCTGATGTCGAGGGTAAATGGGCGAGGTTTAGGACTGTGACTCATGCAGCTGCAATGGCCGCTTTGGGTACGCGGTCCAGACCTCCCCAGAGACCCTGGTTGACAGAGGTGTTCAGGATGGTTGAGAAAAAGCGACAGGCCCACTGTCATCGGCTACAGAATCCCACGTCAGAGAATGAGGAGGCTTACCTCAGCCTTCGCTCGGAGGTTCGGAGAGCCGTGAGACGCTGCAAGGATAGGTGGTGGTCGCGGGTTGCTGAGGAGATGGAGTCTGCCTCAGTGGCCCGTGATCACAAATCTCCATTTAACTCCATCAAAAAAGTAACCTGCAGCGCCACACCTATTACCATCATTAGGGGAAAAAACGGTGATCCAATCTCCAACCCCCAGGAACAGGTTTGCAGATTTGCTGAGCATTTCTGTGAGGTCCTGGGGGAGGGAAAATCCCTCAGCCAGGAAAACATCGTGGCACAAAGTGAGGATGACCCTGCTGAGGCTGCGGTGCCTCAAATATTGGAAGAAGTCACCCCCTGTGAGTGGCTGGCTGAGGTGCCATCTGTTGAGGAAGTACTGAAGGCGATCCGGAGTCTGAGACCAGGAAAGGCAGCGGGCAGAGATGATCTCCCAAGCGAAATGCTGAGGGAGGGTGGCGTTTGTGCACAGGCTGCCCTATATGACATCATAACAACAGTCTGGACCACTGGACGGGTTCCGCAGGATTGGAAGGATGCCCTGGTGGTCCCCCTCTTTAAGAACTGGGACCGCACAGACTGTAACAACTACAGGGGCATCTCACTCCTCAGTGTGCCGGGAAAGGTCCTGGCAAGGATTATTCAGCATCGCCTTGCCAGGCACGCTGAGGAGAGGCTTGCGGAGCCCCAAAGCGGTTTCAGGAAAGGGCGGTCCTGCACAGATGCCATATTTTCTGTCCGTCTGCTACAGCAGAGGTGTAGGGAATTCCAGCAAGACCTACATCTCTGCTTTATTGACCTGGTCAAGGCCTATGATACCATCAGTAGGCCTGGGCTCTGGGTCGTTCTTCGTGCTTTTGGAGTACCTGACCCTCTGCTCACGATCATTAAGGACCTTCATGATGGTGAGCGGGCCCGGGTAAAACTACGTGGCCGGGAGTCAGAGCCATTCCCTGTACACCTTGGGGTGCGACAGGGATGTTCTCTGGCTCCCACATTATTTAACATCTATTTTGACCACGTAGTTCGTGAAACCTTCAATAGCTGTACTGGGGGAATCTCCATATGGTACAGATATAATGGGAGGCTGATCGATGCCCGGGTGCAGTCAAGGGATGGCTCCCTATTGCTCAACCACGTTATGTATGCTGATGATTTGGTAATAGCTGCTCAGTCAGAGGAGGAGTTGGAGATGCTGCTGCTGAGACTGGAGCGTGCCACTAAGAGGTGGGGCCTTACCATCAGCCCCACCAAAAGTAAGCACCTGCCTGGGTATTTTGTACCATCGGACACTCCACCCCCACAACTCCCAATCGGTGATGGGGCAATTGTGGAGAGAGTGGAGAGTTTCCCATACCTGGGCAGTGTGCTTATGACTGGCTCCAGTTTAACAGCAGAGGTCTCACTCCGAATCAGTCGAGCGGCAATATCTTTTCATCGGTTGCGTAACGCTGTGTGGAAGCTACCTGGTCTGTCGCTCCGCACTAAGCTTCAGGTCTTCTCGGCTACGGTCATTCCCTCCCTTCTCTACGCTTGCGAAACGTGGACCCCCCTAATGGAACATCTTCGCCGGTTAGAAACATTTAGGCTGGCCTGTCTACGATCCATCCTGGGTTTAACCAGACTGGATTGTGTGAGGAGCTCACAAATCCTTGAAAGATCTGGGCAAGGTCCCATCGGTGAGCTCCTCTGGCGGGCAAGGCTGCGATGGCTGGGTCATGTAGCCCGCATGCCCAGCCACCGCATGCCGAAACAGCTTTTGTTCGGCCGGATTGAGGGGGCTAAGCAGGCGAGGCACGGGCTAGAGAAGAGATAGAGTGATGTGGTACAGGAGGACGTGGAGCTGAGTGGACTTGCCGATGACCGGTACCAGCGGTGTCAAGATCGGCCTCTGTGGAGGAGGCTCATGAAGGATGCTGCTACTGGGCAGTTGGAGGCAGTCACCCTCCAACAACAACGGAGGGCGGAGGAGCGACGCTCACAACAGCGAGCGGAGCGCCGGGTGGCTAAAGCACAGCAGGTTGGCACAGTAGGGGGCACAGGTGGTGCATCAGCCAGTCATCTCAGTCAGTCGACCCGTGGCACCTGGGTCTGCCCCGTGACCTCCTGCCAGCGGGCGTTCGACACTTCACGTGGCCTCAGGGTGCACATAGCCTGGCACAAGCGTCGTGGTGACGTCACCGCCACTTAGTGGCGAATGGCGGTTGTTGTTGTTGTTGTGTGCGTGTCAGTAGTGTAACGGTAGTGTAGTGGTCAGCACTACACTGCGCTATGAACCCGGCGACCCGAGTTCGATTCCCGCTCAAGGCCAACACCATCACAGTGACGGCGATTATCTGAACCGGTCCCGGGCCTCCCCTAGGTCGACTCAGCCTCAAATGAGTACCTGGTGCGGTGTGTAAACATTGCTACTAGGGAGACAAAGGCGGTCGGGCGTGGTGCTGGCCACCCACCCCCTCGTGTACCGTGCCGGCCTTCATAGGCGCTTGCTAACAGCACTTGACCCTACAGTCTGTTAAGGCTACACGGGGGATCTTTGTCTTGGTGTGTCTCCCCCTCCCCGCGTCTCCCCCTCCCCGTGTCTCCCCCGTGTCTCCCCGTGAGTGTCTCCCCGTGTCTCCCCGTGTCTCCCCGTGTCTCCCCGTGTCTCCCCCTCCCCGTGTCTCCCCACGTCTCCTCCCCCCACCCCCACCGAAGCCGATGAGTCCCAGCGTCTCCCCGTGTCTCCCCGTGTCTCCCCGTGAGTGTCTCCCCGTGAGTGTCTCCCCCTCCCCGTGTCTCCCCGTGAGTGTCTCCCCCTTCCCGTGTCTCCCCGTGTCTCCCCGTGATTGTCTCCCAGTGTCTCTCCCACTCCCCCCCCCCCCCACCGAAGCCGATGAGTCCCAGCGTCTCCCTGTGAGTGTCTCCCAGTGTCTCTCCCCGTGTCTCCTCCCCCCCCCCCCCCACCGAAGCCGATGAGTCCCCGTGTCTCCCCGTGTCTCCCCGTGTCTCCCCGTGTCTCCCCGTGTCTCTCCCCGTGTCTCCTCCCCACCCCCACCGAAGCCGATGAGTCCCAGCGTCTCCCCGTGTCTCCCCGTGTCTCCCCATGAGTGTCTCTCCCACTCCTCCCCCCCCCCACCGAAGCCGATGAGTCCCAGCGTCTCCCCGTGTCTCCCCCTCCCCGTGTCTCCCCGTGTCTCCCCCTCCCCGTGTCTCCCCGTGTCTCCCTGTGAGTGTCTCCCCATGAGTGTCTCTCCCACTCCTCCCCCCCCCCACCGAAGCCGATGAGTCCCAGCGTCTCCCCGTGTCTCCCCGTGTCTCCCCGTGTCTCTCCCCGTGTCTCCCCGTGTCTCTCCCCGTGTCTCCCCCCCCCCCCACCGAAGCCGATGAGTCCCAGTGTCTCCCCGTGTCTCCCCGTGTCTCCCCGTGTCTCCCCGTGTCTCCCCGTGTCTCCCCTCCCCGTGTCTCCTCCTCCCACCCCCACCGAAGCCGATGAGTCCCAGCGTCTCCCCGTGTCTCCCCGTGTCTCCCCGTGTCTCCCCGTGTCTCCCCGTGTCTCCCCTCCCCGTGTCTCCTCCTCCCACCCCCACCGAAGCCGATGAGTCCCAGCGTCTCCCCGTGTCTCCCCGTGTCTCCCTGTGAGTGTCTCCCCATGAGTGTCTCTCCCACTCCTCCCCCACCCCCACCGAAGCCGATGAGTCCCAGTGTCTCCCCGTGTCTCCCCGTGTCTCCCCGTGTCTCCCCGTGTCTCTCCCCGTGTCTCCCCCCCACCCCACCGAAGCCGATGAGTCCCAGCGTCTCCCCGTGTCTCCCCGTGTCTCCCTGTGAGTGTCTCCCCATGAGTGTCTCTCCCACTCCCCCCCCCCCCCCACCGAAGCCGATGAGTCCCAGTGTCTCCCCGTGTCTCCCCGTGTCTCCCCGTGTCTCCCCGTGTCTCCCCGTGTCTCTCCCCGTGTCTCCCCCCCCCCCACCGAAGCCGATGAGTCCCAGCGTCTCCCCGTGTCTCCCCGTGTCTCTCCCCGTGTCTCCCCGTGTCTCCCCGTGTCTCCCCGTGTCTCTCCCCGTGTCTCCCCCCCCCCCACCGAAGCCGATGAGTCCCAGCGTCTCCCCGTGTCTCCCCGTGTCTCCCCTCCCCTCCCCCCCCCCCCCCCCCCACCGAAGCCGATGAGTCCCAGCGTCTCCCCGTGTCTCCCTGTGAGTGTCTCCCCATGTCTCCCACTCCTCCCCCCCCCCACCGAAGCCGATGAGTCCCAGCGTCTCCCCGCGGATGCGCGCGGCTCCTGCGGCCATCTCCCGGATGTGCTCGACGGAGGCGGCCCGGGCGCCCTGGCGGAGGCCCAGGTGGAGCCAGGCAGTGCGGCGGTACAGGTTCAGCACCAGGGACATTGCCGAGTCGGCGCTCTCCTCCACCGACACCGCCGGCACGTTGCACACCGCGATGCCTGCACACGTACACACACACAGACACAGACACGTAGTCACACACACACAGACACACACACACAGACAGTCACACACACAGACAGTCACACACACAGACAGTCACACACACAGTCACACACACACAGACACACAGTCACACACACACACACACGTACACACACACGCATTCACACACACGTACACACACACATACACACGTACACACACACGTACACACACACACGTACACACACGCACACACACACACAGTCACACACACGTACACACACACACGTACACACACGCAGTCACACACACACACATACACACACGTACACATACACGTACACACGCACACACACGTACACACGTACACACACACACGCATTCACACACACGCGCAGTCACACACACACGCATTCACACATACGCAGACACACACGCACGCACACGCACGTACATACACACACTCACACACACACGTACACATTCACGCACGTACACATTCACACACGTACGCACGTACACACGCGCACGCACAGTCACACACACACACACAGACACACACAGACACACGCACACACTCACACAGTGACACACACACGCACACACATGGGTGGTGTGACCCACTGCGGTGTGACTCCGTGTGGTGTGACGCTCACCCAGCTCAGCGGCCGCCCTGATGTCCACGTTGTCACACTCACACACACAGTCACACAGTGACACACACAGTGACACACACACACAGTGACACACACACACACAGTGACACACACACACACACACAGTGACACACAGTGACACACACACACAGTGACACACACTCACACGGGTGGTGTGACTCCGTGTGGTGTGACGCTCACCCAGCTCAGTGGCCGCCCTGATGTCCACGTTGTCACACTCACACACACAGTGACACACACAGTGACACACACACACACACAGTGACACACACACACACAGTGACACACACACAGTGACACACACACACACAGTGACACACACACACAGTGACACACACACACACAGTGACACACACACACAGTGACACACACACACACAGTCTCACACACACACACACACAGACACACACACACACTCACACAGTGACACACAGTGACACACACACACAGTGACACACACTCACACGGGTGGTGTGACTCCGTGTGGTGTGACGCTCACCCAGCTCAGCGGCCGCCCTGATGTCCACGTTGTCACACACACACACGCACACACAGTCACACACACAGTCACACACACACTCACACACAGTCACACACAGTCACACACAGTCACACACACAGTCACACTCACACACACACACACAGTCACACAGTGACACACACACAGTGACACACACACACACAGTCACACACAGTCACACAGTCACACACACACGCAGTCACACAGTGACACACACACAGTGACACACACACACTGTCACACACACTCACACAGTCACACACACACACACACAGTCACACACACACACTCACTCACACACAGTGACACACACTCACACAGTCACACTCACACACTCACTCACAGTCACACACGCACACTCACTCACACACAGTGACACACACTCACACAGTCACACACGCACACACACACAGTCACACACACACACACTCACACAGTGACACACACTCACACAGTCACACACACACACACAGTCACACAGTCACACACACACAGTGACACACTCACACAGTCACACACGCACACACAGTCACACACACTCACACAGTCACACACACACTCACACACACACACAGTCACACAGTGACACACACACACACATGTGGTGTGACTCCGTGTGGTGTGACGCTGACCCAGCTCAGCGGCCGCCCTGATGTCCACGTTGTCCACGCCGCTGCCGATCCGAACGATCACACAGTGACACACACACACACGTGTGGTGTGACTCCGTGTGATGTGACTCCGTGTGATGTGACTCCGTGTGGTGTGACGCTGACCCAGCTCAGCGGCCGCCCTGATGTCCACGTTGTCACACACACACACTCACTCACTCACACTCACACACACAGTCACACAGTGACACACACACACACGGGTGGTGTGACTCCGTGCGGTGTGACTCCGTGTGGTGTGACGCTCACCCAGCTCAGCGGCCGCCCTGATGTCCACGTTGTCCACGCTCACACTCACACACAGTGACACACACACACACTCACACACACACCACACACACGGGTGAAGTGACCCACTGTGGTGTGACTCCGTGTGGTGTGACGCTGACCCAGCTCAGCGGCCGCCCTGATGTCCACGTTGTCCACGCTCACACACACACACACAGTGACACACTCACACACACAGTCACACACTCACACAGTGACACACACACACACACCACACACACATGTGGTGTGACTCCGTGTGGTGTGACGCTCACCCAGCTCAGCGGCCGCCCTGATGTCCACGTTGTCCACGCCGCTGCCGATCCGAACGATCACGCGCAGCGAGCGAAACTTGTCCAGGTCATCGCGTGTCAGGGACATGGTGTGGTACATCAGGGCGCCCACCGCCTCGTTCAGCACCTGGTGCCAAGGTCGGAGGTCGCCGTGAGGGGTCAAGGTGAGGGGTCAAGGTGAGGGGGTCGAGGTGAGGGGGCGAGGTGAGGGGTCAAGGTGAGGGGTCAGCGTGAGCGTCGGGGTGAGCGTTAGGGTGAGTGACAGGGTGAGTGACAGGGTGAGTGACAGGGTGAGTGTAGGGTGAGTGACAGGGTGAGTGACAGGGTGAGTGACAGGGTGAGAGACAGGGTGAGTGACAGGGTGAGTGTCAGGGTGAGTGACAGGGTGAGTGACAGGGTGAGAGACAGGGTGAGTGTGGGGTGAGTGACAGGGTGAGAGACAGGGTGAGTGTGGGGTGAGTGTGGGGTGAGTGTAGGGTGAGTGTAGGGTGTGTGTAGGGTGTGTGACAGGGTGAGTAACAGGGTGAGTGTAGGGTGAGTGATAGGGTGAGTGACAGGGTGAGTGACAGGGTGAGTGTAGGGTGAGTGACAGGGTGGGTGTAGGGTGAGTGTAGGGTGAGTGTAGGGTGAGTGACAGGGTGACAGGGTGAGTGACAGGGTGAGTGTGGAGTGAGTGACGGGGTGAGTGTAGGGTGAGTGTCTGGGTTGAGTGACAGGGTGAGTGTAGGGTGAGTGACAAGGTGAGTGACAGGGTGAGTGTAGGGTGAGTGACAGGGTGAGTGTAGGGTGAGTGACAGGGTGAGTGTAGGGTGAGTGACAGGGTGAGTGACAGGGTGAGTGTAGGGTGAGTGACAGGGTGAGTGTAGGGTGAGTGTAGGGTGAGTGTAGGGTGAGTGACAAGGTGAGTGACAGGGTGAGTGTAGGGTGAGTGACAAGGTGAGTGACAGGGTGAGTGTAGGGTGAGTGACAGGGTGAGTGACAGGGTGAGTGACAGGGTGAGTGACAGGGTGAGTGTAGGGTGAGTGACAGGGTGAGTGACAGGGTGAGCGTCAGGGTGAGTGTAGGGTGAGTGCGGGGTGAGTGTGGGGTGAGTGTAGGGTGAGTGACAGGGTGAGTGACCTGGGTGAGTGACAGGGTGAGTGTAGGGTGAGTGACAGGGTGAGTGACAGGGTGAGTGTCAGGGTGAGTGACAGGGTGAGTGTAGGGTGAGTGTAGGGTGAGTGTAGGGTGAGTGACAGGGTGAATGTAGGGTGAGTGTAGGGTGAGTGTAGGGTGAGTGTAGGGTGAGTGACAGGGTGAGTGTAGGGTGAGTGTAGGGTGAGTGTCAGGGTGAGTGACAGGGTGAGTGACAGGGTGAGTGTCAGGGTGAGTGTCAGGGTGAGTGTCAGGGTGAGTGTAGGGTGAGTGACAGGGTGAGTGACAGGGTGAGTGTAGGGTGAGTGACAGGGTGAGTGTAGGGTGAGTGACAGGGTGAGTGTCAGGGTGAGTGTAGGGTGAGTGACAGGGTGAGAGACAGGGTGAGTGACAGGGTGAGTGTAGGGTGAGTGACAGGGTGAGTGACAGGGTGAGTGTAGGGTGAGTGACAGGGTGAGTGACAGGGTGAGTGTAGGGTGAGTGACAGGGTGAGTGTAGGGTGAGTGTCAGGGTGAGTGACAGGGTGAGTGACAGGGTGAGTGACAGGGTGAGTGTAGGGTGAGTGACAGGGTGAGTGTCAGGGTGAGTGTAGGGTGAGTGACAGGGTGAGTGACAGGGTGAGTGTCAGGGTGAGTGACAGGGTGAGTGTAGGGTGAGTGACAGGGTGAGTGTGAGGTGACAGGGTGAGTGACAGGGTGAGTGACAGGGTGAGTGACAGGGTGAGTGTAGGGTGAGTGACAGGGTGAGTGACAGGGTGAGTGTAGGGTGAGTGTAGGGTGAGTGACAGGGTGAGTATAGGGTGAGTGACAGGGTGAGTGTAGGGTGAGTGACAGGGTGAGTGTAGGGTGAGTGTCTGGGTGAGTGTCAGGGTGAGTGTCAGGGTGAGTGACAGGGTGAGTGACAGGGTGAGTGCGGGGTGAGTGTAGGGTGAGTGACAGGGTGAGTGACAGGGTGAGTGTTGTGGTGAGTGACAGGGTGAGTGTAGGGTGAGTGACAGGGTGAGTGACAGGGTGAGTGTAGGGTGAGTGACAGGGTGAGTGTAGGGTGAGTGACAGGGTGAGTGACAGGGTGAGTGACAGGGTGAGTGTCAGGGTGAGTGTCAGGGTGAGTGTAGGGTGAGTGACAGGGTGAGTGTAGGGTGAGTGACAGGGTGAGTGTAGGGTGAGTGACAGGGTGAGTGACAGGGTGAGTGTAGGGTGAGTGACAGGGTGAGTGTAGGGTGAGTGTAGGGTGAGTGTAGGGTGAGTGACAAGGTGAGTGACAGGGTGAGTGTAGGGTGAGTGACAAGGTGAGTGACAGGGTGAGTGTAGGGTGAGTGACAGGGTGAGTGACAGGGTGAGTGACAGGGTGAGTGTAGGGTGAGTGACAGGGTGAGTGACAGGGTGAGCGTCAGGGTGAGTGTAGGGTGAGTGTAGGGTGAGTGCGGGGTGAGTGCGGGGTGAGTGTAGGGTGAGTGACAGGGTGAGTGACCTGGGTGAGTGACAGGGTGAGTGACAGGGTGAGTGTAGGGTGAGTGACAGGGTGAGTGACAGGGTGAGTGTCAGGGTGAGTGACAGGGTGAGTGTAGGGTGAGTGTAGGGTGAGTGTAGGGTGAGTGACAGGGTGAGTGTAGGGTGAGTGTAGGGTGAGTGTAGGGTGAGTGACAGGGTGAGTGTAGGGTGAGTGTAGGGTGAGTGACAGGATGAGTGACAGGGTGAGTGTAGGGTGAGTGACAGGGTGAGTGTAGGGTGAGTGACAGGGTGAGTGTCAGGGTGAGTGTAGGGTGAGTGACAGGGTGAGAGACAGGGTGAGTGACAGGGTGAGTGTAGGGTGAGTGACAGGGTGAGTGACAGGGTGAGTGTAGGGTGAGTGACAGGGTGAGTGACAGGGTGAGTGTAGGGTGAGTGAAAGGGTGAGTGTCAGGGTGAGTGTAGGGTGTCAGGGTGAGTGACAGGGTGAGTGACAGGGTGAGTGTAGGGTGAGTGACAGGGTGAGTGTCAGGGTGAGTGTAGGGTGAGTGACAGGGTGAGTGACAGGGTGAGTGTCAGGGTGAGTGACAGGGTGAGTGTAGGGTGAGTGACAGGGTGAGTGTGAGGTGACAGGGTGAGTGACAGGGTGAGTGACAGGGTGAGTGTAGGGTGAGTGACAGGGTGAGTGACAGGGTGAGTGTAGGGTGAGTGTAGGGTGAGTGACAGGGTGAGTATAGGGTGAGTGACAGGATGAGTGTAGGGTGAGTGACAGGGTGAGTGTAGGGTGAGTGTCTGGGTGAGTGTCAGGGTGAGTGTCAGGGTGAGTGACAGGGTGAGTGTGGGGTGAGTGTAGGGTGAGTGACAGGGTGAGTGACAGGGTGAGTGACAGGGTGAGTGTAGGGTGAGTGACAGGGTGAGTGTAGGGTGAGTGACAGGGTGAGTGACAGGGTGAGTGACAGGGTGAGTGACAGGGTGAGTGTCAGGGTGAGTGTAGGGTGAGTGACAGAGTGAGTGACAGGGTGAGTGCAGGGTGAGTGACAGGGTGAGTGACAGGGTGAGTGACAGGGTGAGTGACAGGGTGAGTGACAGGGTGAGTGACAGGGTGAGTGACAGGGTGAGTGTCAGGGTGAGTGTCGGGTGAGTGTAGGGTGAGTAACAGGGTGAGTGTAGGGTGAGTGTAGCGTGAGTGACAGGGTGAGTGTCAGGGTGAGTGTAGGGTGAGTGACAGGGTGAGTGACAGGGTGAGTGTAGGGTGAGTGACAGGGTGAGTGACAGGGTGAGTGACAGGGTGAGTGACAGGGTGAGTGTAGGGTGAGTGACAGGGTGAGTGTAGGGTGAGTGACAGGGTGAGTGTAGGGTGAGTGACAGGGTGAGTGTAGGGTGAGTGACAGGATGAGTGACAGGGTGAGTGTCAGGGTGAGTGACAGGGTGAGTGACAGGGTGAGTGTAGGGTGAGTGACAGGGTGAGTGTAGGGTGAGTGACAGGGTGAGTGTAGGGTGAGTGACAGGGTGAGTGTAGGGTGAGTGACAGGGTGAGTGTAGGGTGAGTGACAGGATGAGTGACAGGGTGAGTGTCAGGGTGAGTGTCAGGGTGAGTGACAGGGTGAGTGACAGGGTGAGTGACAGGGTGAGTGTCAGGGTGAGTGACAGGGTGAGTGTAGGGTGAGTGACAGGGTGAGTGACAGGGTGAGTGACAGGGTGAGTGACGGGGTGAGTGACGGGGTGAGTGACAGGGTGAGTGTCAGGGTGAGTGTCAGGGTGAGTGTCAGGGTGAGTGTAGGGTGAGTGTAGGGTGAGTGTAGGGTGAGTAACAGGGTGAGTGTAGGGTGAGTGTAGCATGAGTGACAGGGTGAGTGTCAGGGTGAGTGTAGGGTGAGTGACAGGGTGAGTGACAGGGTGAGTGTAGGGTGAGTGACAGGGTGAGTGACAGGGTGAGTGACAGGGTGAGTGTAGGGTGAGTGACAGGGTGAGTGACAGGGTGAGTGACGGGGTGAGTGACAGGGTGAGTGACAGGGTGAGTGACAGGGTGAGTGTCAGGGTGAGTGTAGGGTGAGTGACGGGGTGAGTGACAGGGTGAGTGACAGGGTGAGTGACAGGGTGAGTGTGGGGTGAGTGTGGGGTGAGTGACAGGGTGAGTGACAGGGTGAGTGTCGTGGTGAGTGACAGGGTGAGTGACAGGGTGAGTGACAGGGTGAGTGACAGGGTGAGTGTCAGGGTGAGTGTCAGGGTGAGTGTCTGGGTGAGTGACAGGGTGAGTGTAGGGTGAGTGACAGGGTGAGTGACAGGGTGAGTGTAGGGTGAGTGTCGTGGTGAGTGACAGGGTGACAGGGTGAGTGTAGGGTGAGTCTCAGGGTGAGTGACAGGGTGACAGGGTGAGTGGCA